TATTAAAGCTCCAGTGTTTAACATTTAGGAGGATCTATTGTAATATAATATTCATACGTAATACGTATCGCGATACAGGAGCTACGATTCAATTCATCGCGATATATTGCGATACTGCTAGCAAAGGCGATATATTTAAAAAAATAAAATTCTACATCAAATCTTTAAAAAAAGGTGTTTTTGGTTTTTATGCAACCAGAATTTATCAGGTTTGAATTTACTTTTAAAAAATCTGTAGTTTCTATTCTATTTCTTTTTGTTTAAGCTGCACAAACACAAATAAAAGACTGCAACTACACGGACAAAGTCATGAATGAAAATAAAGATCGTTGAACTGGACTGAAGAAAAGGAAACTAAACACGACTCCAGCTTCAAGTTGTTTCTCAAATACGTCATTTTAAGGTGAAAGAAGAACCTGAAGTCACAAACTAATATAAGAATTTGTTTTTTTGTAAATATTTGACAGATTTTTTTACTGCAATGCTGCTAAAATAACTTTAACATTAAAAGGAGCAGATGTCTGATGTGTTTCTCAGATATTCAGAGATCAGTGTGACTGGAAAACACCTTCAAGAATTCAGTGACGGAGCATCATTGTGTGTTTCTTCTTGTGTTCAACCTCCACGGCTCTAATGAAGCAGCCCATAGGCACAGTCAGCAGGAGCTAATCCGGGCCTTTATTACAGAACCTCTCCAGACCCGCCAATAAGTCTGACGCCAGATGGATGTCCGCTCTGTCACAAAGCTCCAGTGAGGACGAATACCTGTCCTGGACGAACCATAAAGCCCATTAGGACGTGTTTAAAGGCTCTTTTATGATGCCTGAAGGTTAGAGACACACACAGTCGGTCTGTGTTTATGTGACTTCCTCCAGCTCCATCCCGCGTCGACCAATCAGAGCGCGGCCCGGTCGAACGAGGGGTTAAATTAAATGTATAAACAAGAAGCTGCGAGCGTGCGAACATCTGCAGGATGTTAGGACAGTGCGAGAGGACAGGAAGTGGCTGTGATTGGCTGAAGGACATGAAAGCCTGTGTGTGTGTTTAGCTCCTGCTGCACCTGAAGGGGTCTGCTCCGGGCCCAAAGGGTCTGTCACAGTCCACATGGGGGGTAGACCCGGTCCCCTGCCCTGCTGGTCTTCCTGCCATCGACCGCAGCCGGACTCTGCAGCGCTCTCCGAGGACGGAAAACGTGGATCAGTCGCAGCCATCTTTGCTGGACTCGGTTCCTGATGGTTAGTTAGAAAAACAGAAAGATTTTATTTATTTATTTTTGCTTAAAAGCCTTTCAGAGCAACCTCAGTCTGATATCTTTATCCACACTAGCAGAGGATGAATCCTACTGACTCTGGCTGAAACTGGTTCAGATATTCACGTTCCCCTGAGGACGAATTATAATAGTTTTGGTGATACCTTCATGTTTCCTCGAACTCCAGCAGGTCAAAACCAAATACCTTAAAAAACTACATTAAAACTGTATATTTAAAGCTATAATATGTAACATTTGCTCATTAAACAGTGTCTAACCTCTGGCTCTATGTTTTATATGTAGTTGAGTTGTCTGAAGCCACATTTCTACCATCCACTGTTTAGATTTTGGTGCTTTTTAACGCTTAGATTTGAACCGGATGAAGGATTTTAGTCGTCGGACGTCTGGATCTTAATCAGACCAGTAGTTCTGGATCAAAGTGTCCCAGCATCATCTGAACACTCAGTGTGTATTTAAATGTGTACCAGAGCATCCCTCCGCCCCCCCGACTCAAAGACGCTCCTCTCTATCTCGCCCTGCGCTCAACTCAGATTTAACTCCACTAAAACTCCCAAAACAGGATCAAATAAGCTGAGCTGTATTTAAATTAAAGCTGTATGATGAAGCTGCAGCAGGAGAGAAGAGAACTGCAGAGGAAGCTGCCACGAGCACATAATTCAAGAGGTTACTATAAAGAGCAGCTCTACAGTGGAACCAGTGGAACCAGTGGAAGGTATCTTCACACAGACTGGATGGATGGAGCTACCTGCGTGGCAACGGGTTCCACTTTGCGTTTCTTCTTCTGATTCTGCCTGCTGGTGCGCAGATAGACGGCGAGCTGTTCGCTCCACCTGGTGAACGGAGAAACACGAGTTAACACGAGGATCCAGCGGGAACCTTCTCACAGCTGTAACTTCTGCAGCGCCACACCGACCCGTTGATGATCTCTTTGTTGTCACCGCGGATGAATATCTCCCGCTCCGGCGTGGCGATGCAGAGCGCGTTCCTCTGGCCCGTCCTGGGCTCCGCGTCGGCGATGTCCGCGCACAGGTTCAGGTTCACGGTGCCCTGCGGCAAAGTGCTCGGCTGGAGGACAACAGAGAGCGTTAAGTGTGGAAGGAGAGAGACGAGGGAATGAGATTTGAGGGGATCACAGAGAGAGAGAGGAGGGGGGGATGCATTAGAGGATAAGCCCAAAATCATCTGCTGCGGTTCTGCACACGACATCTGGCCTAAAGATGCCCCGCTTGATCCCGACGTACTGTAAATGCAGACATGCAGAGAGCAGGATTTACAGATTTACTCAGAGTTCAGTTACAGTTTCTCACCAGTTCGTCCAGGGCGAAGCTCAGGCTGCCGTGTTCGTACAGGATGAAGAAGCGCCGCTGCCATTTCTGACGTAGAGAGACGACAAACACCATCAGTGATTCTTTAAAACACAGATCACGATGAATTGGCTGGATGATGTTTGTGTGTCCGACCTACCCTCGACCTCTGCATCGGGTTGTCGAAGTCCGTCCCCTCAGGAGCCAAACACAGCCAGCCTCCGTAGATCGGTTTGGCCTTTAATTCATCAATGGAAACAGTTTCAGCATCTCAACATGTTCCCTAAAGGCAGCTCTTTTGTATTATCGACGACCCGACTGACTGAATTACACATTTTATTGATATTTTATATTTTATTCAATG